TCAGGCGCGGCACCGGGGGCGGCGGCGTCCTGGCTGTTGGAGAGACATGAGTAGGGCCTGCTGCAGCAGCTCGTCTTCGTCCATCTCTTTGGACTCGTTGTTGTCATCAGCTGCCTCGCCTTCAATCGCCATCGAATCTACATCGTGAAAGAAAAAGCCCATTCAACAAGCCGTGGAATGATGGTGTGTGTGTGTGGTGTGTGTGGTGTGGGTGTGTGTGTGGCCTGACCTTGGGAAGAGGTGGGCAGCGATGAGGGCAGGCTGCCGCCTTGTTCAAGGAGCGACGCGGCGAGGACGTGCTGCATCATCACGTCCTCCTCGTCCTCCTCGAAGTAGTCGTCTTCGTCTTCGCTCGGCGTGTCGTCGTCCTCATCATTACCGCTCCTCGGCTGCTGCCTGGTGTCCTCGCCCGCGCCGCCCCTTCTCGCCCTCCGCTCGGCCTTCTCCCTCCGTTTACGTGCGTCGCGTGTCGCCTTTCGTTGGCTCATGCCCAACGGCGCTCCCGCTGCAAAAAAGTAGATTTAGACAATAAATTTAAATAAATAATTTATAAATAAATACTAACAATCATAATAAAAATAAGAATAAGAATAAGGGGGCGCACCGGTGGATCGAGAGGCTGGCTGGGGATTTGGCCGGCCGTGGGCAAGGGTGCCGGTGCTTTGACCGCGGGATGCGCTACCTCCGCGTTGGGCACCTCCCCTGCCGCCAGAGGAACCGCTTCCTCGAGGACCACCGCCACCTCTACCGCCACGGCCTGATTACGTGTTTCGTAAAATGGTCGGAAAAAAAAAGATCAGCTCAGCATCATCGCAAGCCAATTGCCGGCTGCTACGCACCACGATTCATCCCAAACTGGTGCGGTACACGGACGCTGTGCTTTGTTCAGGAGGGGAACTGTTGATAACAGCTGATCTGTTTCGGCTTCGCTGTCCGAGATTGAATTTCTTTTTCGATTTCTCTACTCACTTGCATTTCCGCATTCTTTTTCCTTTCCTAGCAAGAGCGTTGCAAGGTAACATGACCATCTCTCCTTGCCTCCACCCACACCACACCTTGGCGCTTAGTTGGGGATGTTGTAGTACTTGAGGCTGAGGGGTAGCTTGAACATCGCCTCCCACAACTTGGCCAGCGAGTTGGTGAGCTTGGATCGCTCCTCCGCGTGCTCTGTCACCCAATGGCTCGTGAGCACAGCATTTCACCGTGAAACGTGTGAAAGCTGAGTTGCGTTGTACCTGTCTTGAGCTGGATGGTGGTCTTTGCGCCGGTGCTCTCCTTCTCAAAGACGACCTTGAATTCGGTGGTGTCTTGTGCATCGAGCTCTAGCGAGACCAGCTCGGATATCTCGTGCGCCGAGGAGATCTCGAACTGAGGCGAGGACGGCGGCTTGACGGAGGGATAGTGCAGCGCCGGCCATCTTCAAGAAAGGAATGAGAAGAATGAGTTTGCATTCCTCCTTCAAACAGAACACGACACGCACACGACACGCACACGACAAGTTTTCATATTTTCGTGGCATACCTGCTGTAGTCCTCCGTGGCGAGGATGATGTGTGTGCTGGTGATGATCATTGCCCGCGTGACGAGTCCTCCCATATCGCGGGCGGCGCTGAGGGTGGAGCCAAGGAGCATGCTCTTGGGGCGAGCCGCGGGCATCTTCTGGTACAGGAGGACGTAGACCTGCAGCGCCTTGGAGGGGAAACGGTAGAAGAGCTGCGTCTGCATGTTTCCCAGCGTCTCGGAATTGTAGTGCACCGCCTCAATCGGTTCACCGCCGACACCGTCCGAATCCAGGACTACAAAGGAAGCAAGGTAAGACGAAGCCGTACACGCAAACACGCACCACCGCACACGCACACGCACCACACAAAACGTACTAGTTTGCAAGAGGAGGTCGATGAAGGCGTGTGTTCGTGCGTGTTCCTTGGACAAGAACACGAACGCCTGCTTCTCGTCGATCTCCACCCGGAAGTGTTGGTAGAAGAGTCCGATGACCACGCGTCGGATTTGCGAGAGTCGGTACTCGGCCACCAGAGCAAAGCCTGCGAAGAAGCAAATCAGCATCGACCAACGATCAATGCATGTGCTAGAAGACGAGCGTCGTACCTGGATCCGTTTCGGTCGGTCGTCGCTTACGTTGCAGGATGTACATGTTTTGCGTCGTGATGAGAAGGTGACCGATCCTGTTGTACAGTGGTAATAAGGTCAGGCTGGAACCGAACAGTCACACACTGTGTGACAAGTGGGATAAGCACGTACGCCTCTTCGCTGGTCTTGGCGCCGTAGGGCAGATACACCGACGTGAAGAAGTAAACCAGCTGCTCGGCCGCGCCTCCCTGCACAACGAAAGCCGTCAGCCTGTCTCGTTGGGCGCCAGCAGCAAAAAAAAGGGAAGGGAAGAAACAAGAAAAAGAAAAAGAAAGAGAAGGAAAACCAAGCGTACCCTGAAGAAGGTGAGCCGAAGGTGGAGCTGCAGGTTGACGTCCATGGTGTCGCTTGAAAAGTCTTCTCTGGTGGAGGCCTTCATCACGACTTCTCCGCGCCTGCTTGTCTCTGTGTCTCCGCTCATTATCGTAACCTTGAGGGCATCGGCGGGTGCGCTGGTGGACGGCTGCGGCGAGGTGGAAGCCGGCGGCGTCTTCGACTTCTTCTTCTCCTCCTCGTAGTGAACCACGTACGTGCTGCCGCACGACCGACAAGCCTGCATGCCCGCAAGGCGATCGTAGATCTTGAGGCATCGCATACACTGCACTCGCGCCTGGCTGTTCTGAGCCAGGAACGCTTGCAACAGCGTCAACAGCTGTTCTCTGGTATTCAGGAATCAAAAATGAGATTAGTTTATGACCAAGGGCGCGCGTGTGTGGTGGTGGTGGTGGTGGTGGTGGTGGTGGTGGTGGTGGTGGTGGTGGTGGTGGTGGTGCGAAATCTGAGCTTACCGTTCCTCTTCGTCGTCAAGGATGTAGGTGGCGGTGTCCTTGACTTCGGTTCTTGTTTCGGTGCCGGCGCGAGGTGGAGAGTATTCGACGTGAACCGCCGGACGGCCACCCACTGAGAGAGAGAGAGAGAGAGTCAACACGAGTAAGTGTGCAACTGTGGCGGGAACAGATTCAGAAATGTACTTACTTGAGACACTCTTGACTGAGGTGATGTATTTGGCTTGGTGAGACACCACGTCCCTGGACCAACACACACCATTCAATAAGTGTTGGCAAAAGGCACAAACGAGCAGCCAGCCAGTGAATCAACGTAAGTACCTTCCCGTGGTGACGTCGGCCTCGACGACGTAGCGCTTGGAGACGAGCAGAATTCGCAACTGGCCTCCAACCTCAACCGTGAACTCGTCCGTCCTGCAGAGTATAAATGCGTTTCACTCAAAACCGAACAACAAATGCTGACATGCTGGTTCTGAGTGTATGTCGCACTTACGTTATGTCCTCGTTCGCGTCGAGGTTGATCCGGCTGTTCGCTGGCGTTGAACTCTGCGGCAAGAAAATGAGTACTCTCACAGTACAGTGATCGGAAGTGGGTTCGAATGGGGCTCGAGAGAGGACCTTTTCCGCCGCATTCTCTCTTTCCTTCGACTGACTCAACTCGTGCGCGGGCTCCGTCGCGGCGGTTTCGTCGTCGTCGGGTGAACTGGCGACGGCCTTGGGAGAAGAGGCTATCTCTGGGCTGCTCGACAGCTGCAGGATCTTCCCGCTCTTGATCTCTTCCAAAATCTTGAGCGAAGCCTGCAGTGCGGTGGCCAGTGATAAGTGTTCCAAGCCACTTACTTACCATGCACACGCACAACTTACATCATTTTTCTGTGTGGCCGGCGGTGTAGAAACAGATGACTTGCGGGCTGGCGGTGAATGAAGGCCGCGTGAGACTATGTCCCATTACCGTCATACATAACAGAGAGTGAAGGTACCCTGCTGAATCTGCACTTCTCGCTGTTCTCGCTCCTTGGCACGCTGTTCTGCCTCATATTCTTTGCGTTGCATCTCGTTGAGCGCAAGCAACCACATGGTGCCTCCCTGTTTATGCAATTCCTAGAACTGCCGAGTAAGTTTCAGGGACCCACACAAATGACACACACACACACACACACCAGCGCGCGGAGGGCAGGTTCTTACTTCAATCTTGGCCACGAACTCTGTGTCGATGCCCTTGTCCTTTGATGGTGATTCCTCCGGCTTCGGTTGAGGCTCCTTCTCGGGCGTCTGTTGTGGTTTGGCGCTGTCGGGAGAGCCCTTGCCTCGGCGGGGCGCCATATCTTGAGGCTCGCTCTTCGGGGGGCGCTGTTGTGGTGAGGCCGGACTGCCCACGGCTTCGATCACGGCCACGCGCTTCTTCTGCACAGAGCAGGAACATCATAAGTCCGACACGGTTAGGGCATTCATCAATTTCAGCGTTGCATTAGCACCTGATGATAGATGTCAGTGGTTCTCAGATATGCGTTGCGTTCATTTATTAGATAAATAATAAGCTTGATACTAATAGGTATATATAAATCTTATATATAAATATCAATGTATATCCATATTAATGTATATCTCTCTCCGTCCGCTCCTTAATTTTCAAACACCATAACATAAGGATTAAACTTTGATTTTAACACGGTCGTGTT